AAAGCTGTGTCTATGTCCAAATTGCTGATTCTCTGAATCCGCATCAAATCTTCAGATTTGGGTTCGGGCTGAATTGAATCAGGGACAGTGATCCGAATCAATGAATCAAATCACTGTCCCTGATTTGGGCCAAATCCAAATTGAATAGGGCCCGCTTCATATACCCTTAATATACACCATCCTGTAGTTCCGGTCCAGATCTCTGTAGTGCTCTTGTCCTCTTATGTAGATTCCTCAATATTTGACAGTGACAGGGTGTGTCTACATATGCATTTGATTTGGGATCAGTTTACTCATGAGTAAACTACTCATGAGTAAATGCTCCTGGGCAGGCATCTACACATGCAGGGAAGCAAAAGCAGATTTGCTGCTAATGGCAGCAAACTGCTCCCACTTCCTGGGGCCCTGCAATGGGGCTCTACTGGTACCAAGGAGAGCTCTAGGCTCCCCCTGGGTGTTAGCCTAGAGTGCTAATCAAGCTTAACCTTAGCTCTACCCCTTATTCACCTAGCTCCAGTCCCAGACACCTAGAGGAACATCTTTGGCTTTCTTGGGTTGCGAAACAAGGCTGCTTATACTTGTCCTCCCTCTCTTCTCATCAAAGCTATAGCTATCTAGCCCTCTTGCTCTCAGCTTGAATGTTACAAGGGAACAGTTTTGGCCTAAGTAAGGACATGACCTATGATTTGGGTCTGCAGTGTTGGTTGCATAGGACCCAAAATGCATATGACCGTTCTTAGGAGACAGGGTGGACAAAAAGATGGGCCCACTCGACCAATGTTCTGACTTCCTGTGTGATTTGCAGGTAGTGTATCATCTTGACATATTAATAAGTGGGATTCTCCTGAGGCTTAAAAGGATCTTGCCAATGCAGAACTTAAGCCCGGTTCTGTGGCTGTCTCATTCAACATGAATTGGATGAACTTTCACTCATTTTGGAATCTGAACTAAAAGGAAGGGCTTGAATAATGAGAGCATAGGTAGGTAACCAAGAATCTTTATTGGCATCTTTTTTTTTTTAAATTCAGTGTTAAAAATATTGCAGATCCTGTATAAAATATAAACTATATTCACACTATACATGTTTCCTGTACATTGTGCATAATTACATTGTCTACTGATCTTGGTCTGATTGCGTTAAAAAGTTGCCCTATGATATTTGCATTACACCATCTGCAGGCATGTTGCATATTACTTATTGATAGGTTTTTCTCTAGTGAGCTTCACTACATAAGGAGTCAACTGAATGGCTTGCCCAGGGTCATGCAAGAAGTCTGTAGCAGAGCTGGGAACTGGGGCTACAGCTTCTGGGTTCCTGGCCGGCATCTTACTCACAAGGCCATCCAGAGTGTGCTTGTAGGAAGCAGAGTAATACAGAAAAAATCTGATACTTAGGACACATATAAAAGAGGACTTTATGAGAAATGCTACATCTGCCTAGACCAAACAATGCCAGGAAAATATACATATTTCTGTCTCTTAATAACCAAGGATCCCACACTGAGGTTGATGGGACCTGTAGCTCCCACTGAAATTAAGAGCAAAACTTCCACTGGCTTTAAAGAGATTAATGGTGGTCCTGGAGCCACTAAAGTCCTCAGTGACTGGACATCTTCTCCCCACCATAGGCTTAAAATTGTACTTTCTTAAAACAAATGCATGAAATTCGGCATCTCTTCTGTGAACTACAGAGTAGAGAAAATGCTGGCAGGTTCTACATTGAGGCCAGTCAAAAATGTCCCACTGAAACTGTTTTTTGCAGGGAAAACTTGTTGGAGGGGGTGTTGGCTAAATACATTCTTTTTTGCTGGTATGCCTGTTTTCCAAAGATTTTTAAAAATGGCTTTTTTGGTCAAAAAAAAATGGAATGACTGAAAATAGAAGTGTATGTGCAAGCACACATCCTTGCATAGAGTATATATACATAATATAATATTTGAGGTTTCCTTTTTATCGCTACATAAAGGTTTCGTTTTACATTTAGTTTAGCTAGAATCTGGCCTTGTCTCCATTGACTCGTGTTTCTTCAACTGCTGCGAAATCTGTAGGAAGCTATATAGGGCATGTCTACAGGAGATGCTACAGTGCCGTAGCTCATTAGTGTAGCAACGTAGTGCCAGCGGGTATGAACCGTGACGCCAACACTACCATACAGTAGGGTTGGAAATGACCCATGCACTGCCGGGACTGTGCAGTAATGGCGGTTACTGTGTCGTCATTTAGTGCTTGCTAACGCAAGTAACAACTGCACCGTCGGAGGCATGTGTAGACGCACCCACTGTGTCTGAAAAGATACAGGTGCAATTGTGTTTCCCAGGGAATTCTGGGTAAACCCCTTATACATACCACACACAACCCCTCTGCTGACCATTTGGAGATTACAAGTGATCAACGGAGGTCAGATTCCTTTTTAGACAATGAAATTAAACAGTTATGGTTTCCAAACCACTTCAAATGGTGGCATATTCTACAACCAGTAGTACTGTGGGAGGAGGGAGGAAAATTCATGTAACTTGGGATCCAGGTTTGGAGTTATTTAGTTCTTCCTCGTGCCACGTGTACATTGACGTCAGTGCAATGTGTGCCTGTGATCTGAGGGAAATCCTATCATCTTGGCCAGGGCAAAGCATTAACATTCATGGAGTTTCCTACTGTGGAATAAGGGTGATCCTGCTGTGGAGTAGGTTTTGAGAGTGAGCTGCCCGGGGACCATTTAAAGCATTGCAGAGACTTTCTGGTTGAGTCATAAGGGGAAGGAGACAGAGGGGGGCTGTGTGCAGGAAGTCAAGCCCCCATGAGCTCTTCTAGGAGTGCTGATGGCAAAACAACTTCACTTGTGCCCTATCTAACACCCCTTCCCATGTGCAGATGGGGACTCTTTGCAAGATCACCCTGATAGAGCTGCTATTCTCTCATGCCGTACATGACCATGGGGATCAAGGAGAAGGATATAGCCCAGAACACGCTTTCACGACATAGGATCTCCGTTCTGGAGGGAGGGGTTTCATTGGGAGGAAGACTGCTATCATTTACCGACCTTTCCTCCTCCTCCTCCTCCTCTGTGCCTCTGTGAGGCCAGCATAAGCCTACAGGATAAACATGTTAGCTGCTTAAGATCACCTGTTCCCTCTGAAATCCCCAGTGGTTTTGCCATGAGTTTTAGTGAGATCAGCATGGGGTTTTTAACCACATGAGCGGTGTTCAGACTGCGATGGCTGGCAGCGTTACATAACCAAATAGCGTCTCGGCAATCTCGTTTTTTTAATGAACAAGAAATGAAAGCGGTGAATTCATGAGGAAGCCACTTGACGGTAAACTGTCACTCCCCAGACTAATCCAGATTACCTCTCTTGCTGGAAATATTCCAAAGCAGAGGGATGGCTATTGCAGGGGAAAAGGCCAGCGCAAGTCAGGTGTTTTCCACAGAGCTTCGCCTCCAGTTCCCCTTTGTGGCCAGGCGGTGGGATTCTCCACGGCACAGACGGCCAACGCAAGGGCCATGGCTCACTGAAATCCTGTCTGCAGAAGTTACGTCTTGTTTAGCCTTTTGTTAAAAGAGCTGGCTTTCGCGTGGATGGAAGACCATGTTTTAATTACTGCAGTAATATCCAGTGGCTCCAACCAGAGGGCCTGGCTGACACCTATTACACAGCCCCTGCCCAAAGACCAGAAAGGAGTCCCTCCTTTCTCCTTGCACATGCCAGCCATTGCATCTCCCCCAAATATTGCACCTGATAAGGTCTACATTTTGAGTGCATCTGTTACCTGTATCGTTTAGCTCTGCTCGTTCATTCTCATTAGCTTTTGAGAAGCCGGCTATACATAGGGAGGTTTTAGTGAGTGACTGTGGTGGACTCTTGCTCATAATTCAAATGGTAAAAGCTGGCCTGGATGGTCTATATTTGAAGCTAGGATTGAGGAGGACCAGCCCTGGGTTTCTTCATGAGCTTGTTGTAGCCCCAGTCATTTATTGCACCTCCTTTTGTCCTCATTGGCATCACCATGGGGAGAGAGAACAGTAACCTGCAGAATTTTGATGAATAGGAGCTACAAAATCCTAGCATGGCAAAAGGCAAAGACCTGTATTAAAAATGTACTGGGGAGTGATGGGGTGGGGACTGGGTGGTGTATAGGCCTAAAGCATAACGTGAATTTTGCCCAATGGAAACAGGGGCCATACATCGAGGGGAACAGATGTTGAGGGGAAGAATGAGATATTTAAAGCATAAATTAAATGTGTGCAGTATAGGTCATGCTGTCAGTCTCATTTTTGCAACACGGGAAAATTAAACGATATCCTTATTACTCAGGGCTAGCTAGGAAATGCAATTTCTGCCCCAAAGGGAATTCTTATATTTCACCATCCATTTTTCCGTCCAGGTTTTGGGATGGGAAGTTAAAATGTCTCTCTTTTTTTTTTCTGCAGAGCAAAATGGTTCTGCAAATTTTGATTTGGAAATGTCAACGTGAAATATTTTGAGCAAACTGAAACGGTTTGACATTTCACAACAAAATATTGATTCAAATCAAGATGTTTCATTTTGAATTGGCCTTTCCGCTCTAAAATGACATTCTCAGTTGAAGTGTCAATTTGGAACCGAGTGTTTCAGTCTGAGCTGACATTTAGAAACCAAACAACTCTGCTCAGAGCATCTCTTTGGAAAAAAAAAAAATCAGAAGTTTTCTTGCCAGATTTTTTTTTTTTTCCTTGCTGGAAGTGCTGATTTTGATCAAACCCACATTTTCCAACACCGAAAAAAAAAAAAAGTCTCCGTTTATTGGAAAACTTCCTACTGGCACTAGGACTTGGTCAAGTTATAAGGAGAAAGGCTGGATGTAACAAGATATATATAGAATGTATTATATGGACTGTTTCTGAAAGGCAGAGTTGGACCCATATAAATATAGCCTCGAGTAGGTTCCTGATATTCAACTGGAAATGACTGGCAAGGTTTGCCTACCTCCTCGGTTTCATTTCCTTGTGTTATTTCATGGGCTACTTCCACTAGACTGGAAAAAAGTGGCAAGTGGAGGGAAGCACAATCCTCGGGCACGGCTGACTGCAGTGCCGTGACCCCATGCCTGGATAGTTCTTTTCTGCATCCAAGTTCGGTTTCCTCCTCCGTAGCCCTCACTTCCTTTTCCTTTTTTTTTTTTTTGCTTCCATTCTCGTTAAAGTTTGCGTTTGATGGTGTTTTTCTTTGCGTCCCTCACCGCCATCTTGATTTCTTTGGTCAGGATCTCTTGCCAGTTTTGCCTGTAAAATAGAGAAAGCGGGGTGAATCCAAGCGGTCCGCATCAGGAAACCGTGCCCTGTTTCGTGACAGTTGATCTAACCAACTTCAGCAGCAACGGGTGCCATCAGAAACAAAGCCATGAGCAAACACCAGAAAAGTGGGGAGGCTGGCACATCATTCACAGGAACAGAGAGGCTACAGAAACTATTGTACTGAACAGTATCGTACACAGCGTTTGATACCCAAGGATTCACTGAACTTCACAGACATGAATTAGTTGTTGTAACCCAGATGTTGTCACAGTGGGCTCCTATTGCTTATATTGAAATGATTCCCCCATGTGTCCTAAGCCCATACTGCTACTAGCTAAATGTGTCACTAGGCCAATACTGCTACCAGCTAGCTGAGATTCGCCCTTGACTTAGTTCCTAGAGGCCCATCCTTTTGGGGCAGGAGGATCCAATTTCATATATGCCTGCCTCCAGTAAGGGGCCACAGAGCTGAGCCTGGTGCCAGCCCGTTGGTGGTCACAGATTTATTATGATAGTGTTATTTCCATAATAGTGGAAATAATAACGCCATAATATTATTATAGTGTTATTTCCATAATAACACTATAATAATAGTGGGGGGTTGAGGGTAAAAAATAAGTGACTGGTTGAAGGCCAGGGTGTGAGTCTGTGTCAGAGCCTGGAAGAGAATGGGGAATTTTAGACTTCCTGCCTTATACTCGAACCACTGCATGTGTTGTCTGGCATGAGGCCCAATTGCATAGCACAGGAAACCGTGGTTCAAGAACACTGAGCATGGCACACTTAGAGAAGGTTGCTAAGTGCTTTGCACTAACATGAAGCCCAGCACATCCGTAGTGTCCCTTCCCTCTCCAAAAAGGGGGAGAGGTGGGAGCACCGTGTGAGCCCAGGACAAGTGACTGAACAGGGGGCTGAAGGCAAATCCCCAGGGAGCAGCTTACTGAAGCCAGAACAATTTCAAACGCATAAACCCCCATAATTTACGATTTAGGAGCCAGCATGGGGATTTCTCTGAAAACTCATTCACCGAGCATCATAACAGGCAGCTAAAGCCACTCGTCACCAGCACTCACAAATCAGCTGCTGACTGACTTAGAAACCTCAGCGACCGCAAAAGAAACTAGGCCAAAGGGAATTATGATTTCCGGGGGTTTTTGGTGGTGTGATGACTGTGGCTGGGTGGTGGATTAAAAAAAAAAAAGGCATAAAAAGATAGCGTCCCCTTCTTGATGTGTGGCTGGGAGAATTGGCATACTTAGAGGGTGAGAAAATAGAGTAGGATAAGAGAGGGGAAAGGCAGATGGGGAGGGAGGGGGAAAAGATGGTGGTGAAAGGGAAAGCGAATATAAGTATTTGGGTTCTGAAGTTTCTGGATTAATTCCCACAGCCAGAATCTCTTGACGGTCTCCCCACCAACGCCAAAGGGGTGATATTCCCCACTATGCAGTGCCCAGTCCCTGTACTGGCCTTCTGCCCATGGGTGACTTTCACCTCCGGAAATGGAGAGAAAACCCTCGATTGAATTTGCTTCCCAACACTAAAGTGAGCCCTGATAAAAGCCTGGACCAGAATCCCAGAGCTGAACACTGGCAGCATTTGGCCTGAGACCCTTGCTTTTCTAGCTTCAGTTCATCCCGACATGAAGGCACCTCTGCTCAG